CCCCAGAAACAGAAAAGCACACTGAAAAATGAAAAGCATGTAAAGAAAGATGATTCTGAAACACCACATGTGAAAAACCTACCGAAGAAAGAGGCAAAATCCTCTAAGGAGAAGCCTGAAAAAGAAAAAAGTCTGTCAGAAGACAAATTGTCCACGAAACATAAACATAAAGGGGACAGTGTGCATAGAACAGGTGACGACACTGAGCTTCACTCTTCTGAGAAAGGTTTCAAAGTAGATGAAAGTGTTCAGAAGCAAAGTCAACAGACCAAACTCTCTTCAGATGATAAAGCTGAACGAAAAAGTAAACATAGGAGTGAAAGGAAATTATCAGTTTTAGGCAAAGATGGAAAGCCAGTTTCTGAGTATATTATAAAAACAGATGAGAATGTTCGGAAAGAAAACAACAAAAAAGAAAGACACTTGTCAACCGAAAAAACGAAGGCAGAGCACAAATCAAGAAGATCAAGTGATTCCAGAATTCAGAAAGATGCTCTGAGTTCCAAGCAACATGGAATCACATTACAGAGAAGAAGTGAAAGTTACTCAGAGGATAAGTGTGATACGGACTCGACTAACTTAGATAGTAATTCCAAACCAGAAGAGGTTGTCCACAAGGAGAAGCGAAGAACAAAGAGCTTGTTAGAAGAGAAACCTGTGTTAAAGTCTAAGTCCAAAAGTCAAGGCAAACAGGTAAAAGTCGTTGAAACGGAATTACAAGAAGGTGTCACAAAACAGACGGCCACTCCGAAACCAGAGAAGGACAAGAACACAGAAGAAAATGACCCAGATAGACAGCGAAAGGCTAAAGTGGAGGACAGATCTTCCGAGGAGAGTGGTGTTGAACCCGTGTTGGAGAGCGCTGCTTCTTCAGCACACAACACGCAGAAGGACTCGAGTCACAGAGCTAAGCCGCCGTTAGCAAAGGAGAAATACAAGGGTGACAAAGATGCAGGCGCCTCCAGACTTGAGAGGAAGTTGTCAGATGGGCACAAAAGCAGAAGCTTAAAGCATAGCAGTAAGGACGGGAAGAAAAAGGAAGAGAATAAATCAGATGATGGTAAAGAAGTTGACAGTAATCATGACAAGGCCAGAGGGAATAGTTCGGCCATGGAAAGGAAGTTAAGTAGAAGGTTGTGTGAAAATCGAAGAGGAAGCTTATCCCAAGAAATGACCAAAGGAGAAGAAAAACTCGCAGCCAACACTTTTGGCACTCCCAGCAGTTCCTCCCTTCAGAGACCAAAAAAAAGTGGCGATGCCACATTGATCCCTGAACAAGAGCCAATGGAAACTGATTCTGAGCCTGCTGTTGAAAGTGTATCTGAGGCATTTAAAACCCAAGAGAGCAGCAGTAATAGTTCTCAGCCAGACATGGACTCTGAAAATGTGATGAAACAAAAAACTACAGCCACAGTTCCAAAGGATGAATTAAGAACTTCCACAATAGACGCAAAAACAGCAGCTCCAGC